TTTAAAAAACTCATTAAGACCTGTCACAAAGCTGCTGTGGGTTGTTACAGTGTGTCTCACCCTCATTTTTAAAGATGTTTCATGGACAAATGCTCATACAGTGCCACGTGTGTGTTCCTCTCTCTGTCTTGTCTTTGTGTATGTTTGAGATGCAGCAGTTGGAGTCTCAGCGTGTCTGTTTCATCCTCATGTTGCTTCTTTTCTTTCTTTCCTTTTTCTATCCCACCACTTTCTTCTCCTGTCTTTTGCTAAACCTGTGGACCCTAAAAGTAAAATGAAAAAGATAAACAAGATGAGCTCACAGAGTCTACAGTGCTCTTCTTGGGAAAGCAAATGTGTTTGACACAGAATGAACTGCTAAACAGAAATGAGCTAATGACCTACACACAATATTTCACTGATTTTAAACAACTTCGGAAATTACACATTTCTGAGAAAAATACCCCCCCTGACCACGTTAAAGTTGCAATCCCTCAGGGGGAAACAGAAAAGCAAAACAACAAAAAACAAAAATTAAAAAAAAAATGTTGTGAACACTGTTATAGCTGAGATCATGAATATCCAGCTGTGGTCGAGCTTTAACAAAACATTTACGATGGAGTCGAGTCAAACATCATTTCACTTACATCACTTTAAAATGAGATTTGCCTCATTTTTATTCCTCTCTCCTTGTGTCTCATCTCTGGTAGAAGGAAGCAAAAGGGGTAGAACTCGCAATAAATCACTGGATCTGCTGCAGTTTGCATACTGGCCGAACAGGTCGACCAATGATGCTATTTCCACTGCTCTTCACCTCTCCCTCTCCCACCTGGACAAGAAAGACACCTATGTCAGAATGCTGTTCATAGACTTTAGCTCAGCATTCAACACCATTATCCCCCAAAAACTATTTGACAAACTCAGCAGGGATGTGGTTCGGAAACTGCAAAGTCGGTGACCCCAGCTACATCAGATAGTTAAAACAGCTGCCAAGATCATCAGAACATCTCTCTCTCTCTTACAGGACATCTTTCACAAGCGTCAGCAAGGCTTCCTGCCGATGCAGCCTCCTCCCTCACACCTCTCACGTGGACTCTTTTTTCTCCCTCCATCTGGCAGACGCTATCGCAGCATCTGGGCCCAATCCGAGTGCAAAATGCCCCCCCAAAAAGACACATCAGAGCACTTGGGCAAATATTGTGTGGGAGAAGTCCACACATTATTTAAAATGAGTTACTCCATCTCCCCCATGACTTTAAATGACTTCTTATAAGAATAAAGGGAAATGATCTCTGGGAGTAAATGCATCAGTGATGCATCTGTTTATAATCACGTGGTCATTTGAAAAAAGTCTGTTGTTAGTCTGACAGAGCTCAGGGTCAGCATTGTATGAAGGTAAAGTCACCAGCTTGCAACCTTCTGTCTGCTGTGCCGACCATAGTCTCGTGCTGCCATCTACTGACACTTAAGTGCAACAACAGGCTCTCCAACTCTAATCTTCCACCACTGAAACTTCAATAACACTCGTTTGATGAATGTGGAGCAGCTGTTTTGTATCTGATATGGAAGGAAATTCAAACAAACATACTTAAAAAAATGCCTGGCTCCTTGTCTTTGAACTGCAGGAAAGAAAAAGACGAGAGGTGTCAGGTGTGTTAGGTAGGTGATGAGTGAAGAACAGAACAGGAACCAGCTTCACTGTGAATCATGACATGTTTCCTGATTCTCGCTGGAAACCTTTTCAACCCTCAGCTAAATCTATCTACTGTGGCCTGAACTGGTTTAGTGTTGCCACACGGATTTTCAGAGTGGCCACAAAGTGACTGGAAAGCTCTGATAAAGCTTACTCTGTCAGCTTCTCTCCTTCATTCTCGCTTTCACTACTGTCAGTGTAACACTTGTTTTAAAGCACTCAGGGTAACACAGTGGTGGCCAGCCGGCTGGGGCCATGGGTTCTTGACAGCTTCCTCCCACAGTTGAAAAACATCCACAGGTTAGGTTAACTGGTGAGTCTAAACTGGTGTTGATGGTTTTCTGTCCGACTGGCAACCTGTCCAACTAGTCCAGGGTGTACCTGTCTGTAGCCTTCTGGCACCTGGGATAAACTCAACCCCAACCTTGACCTCGAATTTGATGAGTGGAAGTGGGCTGGGTTAAATCTCACCAGCAGGTGGCGCTATTGCTTTGTCTGTTCATAGGTTGCATTGCGATAGCTAGTAGCGGCTAGGCAGAGTCAGAAGCAGGAAATATTTCTCACATGTGCACTTGTGATGGTTTAAGAGTCATGAATGAACCCAACTCCATCCTTGTTTATGACTTTGTGGAAAACACTGCCTCTGAGTATTTTGAGCTTTTGACATGTTTTCAATTAGAATTTTTTGGTACTTTAGGTACAATTG